CGGCCCCGGATCAGGACACGGCAGGCAGGAGCCCCGCCCCGGCACACGGCTGCCCTTAGGGTCCTGTGTGCGCGGGGCTGGGTCCTTGCGAGGTTCCAGCCGCCGCCTGAGCACGAGTCTGAGCGCGCCCCAGGGGCACCCTCGTGTCGCCCCCACACACCTTTACCCACAGGCATCACGGCCCACGGCAATGCTGCCCCGTCACCGCCGGTACCGCCACGACGCTCGCAATGGCCAGAAACACCCTCCTTCTCCCTCAATATCTGCATCTCCATCCACAACACGCCCCGCCCCGCTTCACGGGTCGGGGGACTGTGACTGGGGTCGCTGAAATCACTCAGCGGGTGGACGGGGGGCCCCACGTCGGCGGGAGGCTGCGGTCCTGGATCCATCCAGCCCATCGGGACGCCCTACCACTGGCAAAGTCCCTTTCTGGAAACACGCGGGCGACGCTTTTCTTAAACAACACGGGCGGCCAAAGGTGAATCTGTTGAAGCGTTGCCTTTTTTTGGAAGAGCACGTTAAAATACAAGTTTAAATGTTTCATTCGTTATTACGATCATTATTTTTACTCTGCTTCTTTGGGCAGGCAAAGACCCCCAAACAAATAACGTTCCCGCAGGTCCGAGGCAGCATGACACGCTTCGGAGCCGCTGGGGTCGCCACCTTGGTCACCAGCCTGGAGTCGGACCGACGCCGGCACCTTGCGTGGGGCGCAGAGAGCGGGTGGCACCGGCCTCAGGCCACATGGCACATCAGAGATCCTGGGTCTGGAGGCTTCCCATGAGCAGGGCTGTGGATCCTGGGGCGTCCAGCCCAGGCACCCCAAACACGCCGCACACACCCCGCACGGCTGTTTTCATAAATACATTCCTACTTGTCAGCCACGTGGCTCGGAGCTTTGAAACACACAGTCACTGGCACAGCACCACGATGGCTCCTTCACATGTCCTTGGAGTGTTAACCTGGGGCAGGCTCCCGCAGTCCTCGGGGACACAGTCGGGGGGAACGCAGCAGGGCCCCTTGCTGGGTGTCCTGCAGCCCCACCAGCCACCTGTTGGGCTGGCTCCCCTCTGCAGCCAGGTGTACGGTGGCAGGGACAGAGGGGTTGGCCCGCTGCGGGGTATGCGGTTAGAGCTGATAGCCCTATGTGGTTAATTTTGTGTGTCCACTTGGCTGGGTCATGGTACCCAGATATTTCATCAAACAATAGTCTAGATGTACCTGGGAAGGTATGTTTTAGATGTCATTAATGTTTAAATCAGTAGACTTTGAGTAAAGCAGATTGCCCTCCATAGTGTGGTGGGCCTTGTCTAATCAGTTGAAGGCCTTAACAGAAAAGATGGAGACACTCTGAAAGAAAGGAATTCTGCCCCGAGAATGCCTGTGGGCTCAAACCTGCAACATCAGCTCCTCTCTGTGTATTTATGTAGACATGTATACACACACACACGGGTCCTATTGGCTCTGTCTCTCTGGGGGCCTAATACAATCTTCCACTACGTTGTCAGACAGTTCTGTTTTATGAGACTTGCAGAGAATAGCCCCACGTGCATAAGATCAGAAGCACATGAGCTGCTTTTCCACTGTCTCTCCCTGTGTCCTTGGCAATGGTCCACGGCCGTGAGGTCGAAAGGGTTTGTCTCTGATGTGGGGCTTAGTGTCTGTTTCCGTTGGCAATGGTGGCTGTCTGGGGGAAGGCTGAGGGGTGGGGCTTTGTGGAGCAGCCAAGAAAAGTCACGAAAATCCTACCATCCCCAGGGGAGCTGTGATCTCAGCTACCCACACAGGGACGAGAAGGGCAGGTGCCCAGCACACACACTGGGTTCCTCCTCGGGGGCCACGGACCTCTGGAGGATATGAGGGAAGGCACGGGCAACGTCTCTGGAAAAATCCGTGCTCCCACCCCTGGCTGCAGGGACGGGTGGGCCTGTATAGAGCGCCCATGTCCCCCAGAACAAGAAGCTCATTAGTGGGAGAACCTCATGCTAGACCCTCAGTGACAGCAAAGCCACACGGCAGTTGGCCCGAGCCCCACTGCATGCCGCGTGCCGTGCGTTGCGTGCTGGCAGGAAGGGCTGACCAAGCTCAGGCCCAGAAGAACTGGGCATGTGGGAAAACATGGGAGACCCAGAGGACCTCTGCTCTTTCACCGGAAGACCCTCAGGGGAGTAACTGATCTCTCGTGCCAGAACCGGACCGTAACTCTGCACACGAGACGCAGAACAGAGCTCAGCAGGCACCCCAACGTCCCTCCTGCGGCTTTGAGCGCCTCAGCTGTAGCATAAAGGACCACACTCACAGAAAGCCTGCGCCCTTGCAAATGTCCTTCCAAAACAAAGCAGGTGGTTGATACCATCTCCGGGTGACTGAGTGGGCAGCGGGAGGAAAGACGCCAGCAGCGGAACAGCAGCCCAAGTTCAAGATTCTTGACTTAGGCATGAGGATGAAGGCCTGCTGAGCTCTCAGAGCAGCCAGCAGCAGGGACAGGGAGCAAATCGCACCCTGGAGAATTTCAGGAGACCAGGAGGGTCTGATGAAGGAGAGAGGGCAACAGGAGAGAGAAACACTCAAGACTGGGGGCTGTGACGGTGGCGGCCGGCCGACAGGGCCGGGGCGACCTGGCTACGCCCGCTGCTGCTCCTGTAGCGCAACTGAGTAATTTTTCAGCCTCTTTCATTTCTCTAAAGGCCCCCGCTCCTGTCCCCACAGCCCGTTTTCTCACGTTGCAATCTTGTCTGAGATGTTTCTAAGATAAATAAACCGGTCTGTATATCAACGGAGAGCTTTAGGAAGGAAGAAAGCAAAGAAAAAAGAAAGGAGGGAGGGAGGAAGGGGAGGAGGAAAGACAGGAAGAAAGAGAAAGACCATCCGGAAAAACCTTCCTTATAAAAATTATTTTGCTTGTCTAACTTCAAAACGCTCAAGTCTGGCTATCGTCACATTTGTTTGCTGACGAGCTCGTGGGACTCCCAAACACCATATTTAATCCCCTTTCCTAGTGTTTAAAACGAGCCAGGGTCCGGGAAGAGAGGACGGTGTAAATCATGCTGTGAGGGCAAGTCGGCAAGCCGGCTCACCTGGGAAAGGCCAAGAGGCACGCTCCATCGCGGGCTGTGCAGGGCAGCTCCAGCCGATGAGACCACGGCCCCCAGACAGATCGCGGCGGCCCTGCCTAGCCTCTCGGGTGCGTTTGCAGCAGTTGGTCACCGCCCCCCGCTGGGCCCCCAGTGTGGGGACTCGGGGACGGGCAGAGGGCCGAGGTGGCCCCCTCCCCTCCCGCTCGCCTTGGCTCCAGGGCCCCCTCCCCTCAGTCGGCTTCCTCCTTTCTCCTGCCAGATGGATCCACCGCTTGGGATTCGTGCCAAGGCCAGACTCAGTCCTGCCGCTGACCACCCTGAGTGCCAGGTTCCGCAAAGCTGCTTTAGCCAGACCCCAAGGCCGGAGGATAAGAATCGCGACAGGTGTCGGGGCGACGGGGGCCATAAGAAAAGGTGACCCTGATCGTCATCCGAGGACAGGGGACGACCGATGGCAGCCTTGTCTAGGAGCCTGTCCCAACCACGTACCCCTGGATGTCCCCACGAGAGCAGACAACAGGGCAGGCCGCCACCCTCCTGTGGCCTGAGTGTGTGTCTCAGCCTAACCAGGCACAGCCCGGCAGGCCAATTCTGCATCCGATCGGCTGCGAAACTTGTGGGGCCCAGAACGCAAGGGTGGGCCCTGCGGTTCAGAGGGTACCGAGGGTCTCAAGACAGCACAGCAGAGCACCGCACCGAGCGCAGGCTCTCCAGGGCTGGCCGGGACCCTGTGTCCGCGTTGCTCGGGAGGCTGCCCCGCCTGCCATTCTGAATGGGTGGCTTTTCAGACGCCCCCAGGTGTCGCTGGAGGTCTTGCCACCAGGTCTGGGAGATGCTGACACCGCGTGTACCCTGCTCTGCTCGCCCCTCTCCCAGTGTCCACGGAACGAGGCGGGAAGTGAGCCTCTCAGGTGTCCAGCGTGCTTGGCTGGCGGGGGGTGGTTGGGGCACCATGAAGAACACGAATCAAGGTGGCTCTCAAAACAGTGACAAAGTCGCCTTTCCAGGCCCAGTGTCCCCGTTCACACCAGCTCCTGGAGAAGAGTCCCTAGCAGGGAGCTAGGTGTCCCAAGGCGGCCCCAAACACCAGGGTACAGCACGGGGAGACACGGGGCCTGAGCTCCAGATTTTAGAGATCGGGAGGACATGGCCCAGAGGCTGGGGACCTGGGCAAGGTCAAGCCCTCTTTGCCACGGGACGATGCTTCTGCAGAAGGGGGTCCTGGGGGAGCCGGGGGGCGGCGGCCCCGGGAGAGGCGGACCTCACAGCGAGGCAGACCCACACGGCTCAGGGAGAGCCGTCTCAGCCCCGAAGGGCCCTCAGGCGCTGCAGCGGGGAAGGGCAGGCTGTCTGTGACAGCGGGGGACCACCGGCGGCCCTCCACCCCGACCCCTGGCGCCCGTGGAATCTCACCCTGATGGGTAGGCCCCACCAGGCCCGGCCGAGCCCGCCCCTGCTCCCTGCTCCCTGCTCCCCGCTCCCTGCTCCCTGGTGAGCAGGCTGCTGTCAAGGAATTTGAAACCCCTTGGAGCCTGGATGGGTCGGAAGGGGGGCTGGCCCCCTTCGCCCGGGGGCAGGATAGAACTTTCGGGGCTTCCTCCTTCTCCCAGGGACTTCTCAGGTATCTAATCTCTCTGCTGGCTCATTTCACTGGGAGGGAGGGCTCCCCCTCCCACGGGATCAGAAACTCGGGGATTGGGTTTCTCAGGGGCCTGGCCCTCCAAGGGGAAGGGGGCCGCACCCTGACCCCCCGGTGGGGCCTGGGCTGGCAGGAGGGCCAGCGAGAGCTGAGGGCAGGGCCAGGGCCGGCCGGGGCCAAGCTGCCCGGAGGAGGGCAGGCCCCGCTGGGGTGTGAAAAGGGGCCCTGGCACAGGAGCCCCCGCCCCCCGGGGCTCATCCCCACGCCCAGGGCTCACTCACTCAGGGGTGTTGATCCAGATGATGTCCAGGTGGCAATAGTAGACACACTCCTTGTCCTTGTAGGTGAAACACGTGCAGCGCCTGGCTCGGGGACGCACAGGGCCCCCCTTGGCCGCCTGGTCCCCAGACCGATCTGGTCCCTGCTCCTGCCCAGGGCCCCCGCGACTTAGACCCTGCCCTGCAGTCGTGACCACGGTCTCCTCGATGTCCCCGTCCGGGCGGGACACAGCGGGGGACTGGGGGACGCTGCTCCTGCCAGCAGGCGCCAATCCTGCAGGAGGCAGATGGAGGGGCTCCTGAGCTCCTGAGCGGGCACGCCCCCACGCCCGCCACCGCCAGCCCTGGCAGAGGGAGACCACCGAGCTTTCTGCAAAGTGTGCAAGCTAGTTGCACTCTCTAGAAAGTCTCCAAGCTATGCCAAACGTCCTGAAAAGTTTGCAAAGCTCTGCGCCCAGTTTTTGAAAAGTTCGCAAGCTATGCGCGTGATGGGTGGAAAAGCTTGCAAGCTATTTTCACTTTCTGCAAAGTCTGCAGGCTCTCTGCACCCGGTGGAAACTTGCAAGCATTTTGCACATTTTTTCAAAACTTTGCAATCATTTTTGCACAGTTTCTGAAGGGTCTGCAAACTTTTTGAAGTTTTCAACTTCACGAAAAACTGACGAAGTCGGCCCAGGTCACAGGTCTCCTGTCTGCGCACAGGCTGCGTGCGCCCTCCTGAGCCCCTGGGGTAGCCCCCTCACCCCGCTTTTGCTCCCAGCCCTCCCCCAGGCGCCTCCAGGGATGGTGAGTCCAGGCAAGAGGCTGCTCCCGCAGTGCATCCTTCCCCGCGCCCCCACCCCCACCCCCGGGCCCTTTTGTGTGCGCTCGCGCCAGAAGAGGCGCCCCGCCCCGCCCGCTTACCTGCGGCGGAGGTCACTGTGAGTCCGAAAAGGAGCCACGGCCCCAGCTCCATGAACCCCGATCAGGCGCGGGAGCACCGGGCCTGGAGGACAGACTCCTGTGGCCCCGGAAGGGGTCTCGGGCTGGGCACAGCGGGCCTCCCCCTCCAGCTGTGGGGGTTCGAGGCCGGCCGCTCGCTCGCTCGCTCGCTCGCTCGCTCGCGGCTCCCGCCAGGAGTTGGCTGCGGCGGTCACAAACTTCAGAGCGCGCTGCCCATCCCTGCGCAGGGCTGGCCGGCTGTGGGCTCAGGCTTTTCTGGCTCCCGCACCACCCCCTCGCCTCCCCGCCCCCCGGAGGGGCTGGAGCAGCCGCGCGGGGCCTTTGAACCCTGGGCGCACCGGGGGTCGCCTCCTGGGCGCAGGGGGGAGCTGCCCGGAGCGCCGCGGCCCGCAGCGCACCCAGCACAGCGAGGGGCGGGGGCGGCGCGCCAGGCCGTGTGCGGTGGGGTGGGGGCCGGGACAGCTGCCGCGAGGCCACGCGAACACACACACTCTCACACATACACACTCGCACACAGGCGCTCGCGCGCGCTCGCGCTCACACCCCGCCCGCTGCTTTGCCTCCCGGGACATGGAGCCCCAACCCGCAGAGCAATAGGGAAGATAAAAGGCTGCGCAGACAGGCTGCTGTCTTTCATCTCTCAGGGAAAGGTACACTTCTCACTGTTCACCTAATGACACCTTACCCTTCCTTGCACCGGGCCTGTACTTTACTCTCCTGACTCAGGGCACTGGCTTGTCTCCCTGCCTCTCCCTGGAGCTCAGAACAGGTGGGCGTGGGCCCGGCCCCAGAGCAAAGTCAACCACGGAGCAGGGCTAGCGGTCCTGGGGGTCCGGGGGGACCTTCTCAGCTGCCTGCCCCCCTGGGCGGGCTTCAGTGACAGGCAGGGGCCTCGCCCCACAGCAAGCCCTTCGCTTTTTCCGTGGTTTCCAAGTCCCGGCCCTGGAGCGCTCCCGCCCCGGCTCTCCCATCTCACCTGGGACTCGGCTGCTGGGTGGAGCTGCCGGGAAGAGGGGGGCTGCTCTGTTTTGCTCTTTTCCCAGGCCACCTGTGCCCGGAGTCAAGAAGGATTTGCGGGTGAGTGGACGGGCGAATGAGCGCTTCCCACAGACTGGGCCCTGCGCTGCTGACCCGTGTGGACACCCAGGAGCCTCCCTTCCCAGAGTGTCCTGACCACGGGGAAGGATGATCGATAAAGAAGGGCAGTGTTCCAGGTGGCATCAGGCAGGCCCCTCCCATCAGCGCGGACTGGACTGGAGGCGGCCTGCCCTGGGGGCTCAGGGCAGGAGGGAGTCACAGCGCGCGGGCCTCGGGGCACTTGCGAACAACTGAAAACATGCCCACCCATCCTGACACTCCTCCCATCGGACGTGGAGTTGAATACCACCCCATCCATCCTCTTTGGCCCGAATGACCCACTTCTACAAAACAGGGCAGCAAAAGTGACAAGAAGGACTTCGGACGGGACGTCATACACGGTGCTACAATTTCCACCTGGCTCTTTCTCGCGGGACCCTTGTTCCCTGGACACAGCCACCATGTTAGGAGGAAGCGCAAACACGTTGCCAGATGGAGAGGCCCCACGGAGGGACCTACGTGGAGGGAGACTGAGGCCTCCCGGCCAACAGCCAGTGCCGGCCACTGGTGAGAGTGAACGAGCCCGAGACTCCCCACGTCCATCTGAGGCCTCGCCGCCCGCCCTGTGCCCTGTCTGAACTCTGATCCGCAAAGCCCGTGGGCGTAAAGAACGGTGGTTTTTCACCACTCAGTGCTGGGTGATTTGCTACAGGGTCATTGTAACTAAAATAGCACTCAAATGCCATCTCAATCCACCCCCTGAGGCTCTTTCTCTGCTGCCCAGTCCTTGAGTCCAAGTCATGGAGTGGAGAGTGAAAGACACTGCCTTTGGGGGTCGCTTGCCACCGATAGACAATGCTGTGCGGGGGACTTCTGCTTTATTTTTTGTGCTCCATATTTTGAAAATGAGAAATACCCAAGGCTATGATTATCTTTGGTTTCCACGGGGCTAGGATGTGGATCGCTTCATTACTATCTATTTCCTTGGAGTTAAACTACCCATCACCTACGATATGAAAAATTACCCGATTGGAGGATGGCTGGGAAAGGAGAGACTAGGCAAACCAGCTAGAAGGTGGTTTCCTGGTGCGTTCGGGCCCTGAGGTGCCAGGGCGGCCAGGCCCCCCGCCCTGGGTCTACTGGCTCCGCAGCTTGGGCAGACCCCAGCACACCCTGGGTGGGCCTCTCAGACACCGTGGCCGTGGGCGGCAGGGTGGCGCTGGCCGTGCCCTCCGAACCTTCTGATCTAACTGAGAGCAGGAAGCCCGGGATCAAGAGCGTGGCCACCGGGATAGCCCGAGGAGGCAGAATTTTAACCGGTCCTCACCGCCGCCCAAGCACGGTGACCGTCAACCACGCCCACTCCCGAGTGACAAGGGCCTTCCCTCTTCTACTCTTCTTCAGTCCTTCTGACTAGGCCCAGGGGGACACCTCAACCGGCTGCGTCTGTAGCCACTCTAACAACGTCCCTTTCTGTGCTGACAGAGAGCAGGCCACAGGCGAGAGCCTCAGGCCCCGGAATCCAGCTCAGCTTCCCTCTCCCATTTTTTTTTATTGTGGCAAAATACACAGAACATAACATTTAGCATCTTCACCATTTGACTCAGTGGTTTTAAATACATTCATAATATTGTGCAGCCATCGCCGTCGCCCATTGCTGTGCATTTTCTTTTCGCAAAACTGAAACTCTGCCCCTGAGTAAATACCTACGAACCGACGCCGCCCCGTTCTCCCTGCACCCACCGTTCTGTCTCCGCCGTGCGTCTGTCTCTGCGGTTTTGACTAAGTACCTCTCGTAAGTGGACTCATCTAGTATTGGACTGGCTTATTTCACGCATCCTAATGTCCTCAAGGTCCTTCCACGTTGTGGCAGGTGTCAGGACGTCCCTCCCTGTGGCGGCTGAACACTATCCCATCGCACGGACAGGCCACGTTGGTGCAGCCCCTCGTCCATCGACGGGCGCGGGGGCCGCTTCCCCGCGTCAGCGACCCTGGATGTCACCCCGCACACGGGCGCACAGGGGCCCCTTCGACCCCTTGCTGTCAGTTCTTTTGGGTGTGCGCTCAGAAGTGAGCCATGTGCCAGTTCCATTTTTCTTTTGTCGAGGAGCTGCCACAATTTTTCACAGTGGCTGTACCATTTCACACTCATGGCAACGGCGCACGAGGGTTTCCGTGTCTCCACGCGCTCAGCAACACCTGTGATTTTGAAGGACTGGGTGTGAGGTGGTGTCTCATTGTAATTTTGGTTTGCATTTCCCTGACATTGGGTGGTGCGGACTATCTTTTCATTGGCCAGGGATGTATCTTCCCCTTCTTTGGAGGAGAAATATCTGTTCAAGCCCTTTGCCCATTGTGGAAGCGAATTGGTTTTTGCTGTTGTTTTATTTAAGATTTTGTGACAGTGTTTACTTTTATATTTATCTTTCCTTTATGACAAGTGATACAAATAAAATAAGTTAAATCGATTTATTTAAGGAAAATAAAAGTAACCTGAATAGAAATATGGAGCTGTTATTGTAAAACTGGTTTGCAGACTTGGCAAAATCACAAAGCTGGTTTGCCCACAACTGAGGTCTAGAAGGCTCTTGGATGAAGGCAACCAGAGGAGGAGGAAGAGGTTGGAGGAGAGATGCGGAGGGAGGGGCGGGAGAAGGGGAAATCTCATTGTTCCTGATGAGAGCTTTTAGAAGGAATCTGGGGGCCCCAGGCTAAGCAGCGTACGAGGCAAACACACAATCCTCCTGGTCCGAGGACGGGCTGGTCGTGGGGGGTTTAATCACTGCTGTGCCCTTGGGACAGCTCAACAAAATCCAAACTATCAATATCCCCACTTAATAGATGGAAAAACTGAGATTCAAAAAGGTTCGCGTGGCCCGGCCTTCGGCTGGCAGCTCTGCAGCAGCAAAGGCAGGGCTCGCATTCAGCTCCGGGGGTCCCAGGGCAGAGCTCGCGCACGACCACTAGCCGGCCCTGGCCCTCGGGCCCACACCCCGGCTCTATAATCATACTCGCGTTTTCTCTGTGTGTCATTGGCGAGTCACTCGTCTCCGCTGAGCTAGCTTCCTTAGCCGCCTGACCTCTGATAAAAGGTCACCAGGAGGCATGATGGCCACACATCTTTTCAGCAGAGGACGCCAGTACACGGCCCTCCTCCTCCTCTCGAGTCGGCTGACACTCTGGACCGTCCTTTGCTGCCTCTGCCATCAGCTGGGCCCCAAAGAGAAGTGATAGATCAAGACACTTCTGGGCCTTGGCCAAGCGCATGGCGAGGTGGCTCTGTTTATTTTCCACCAACTTTTTCCAAGCAGGCAGATGTGCGGCTGCGCCTTTGAGACGGCATCGCTCACTGAAACTGGGATTCGAAATCCAGCCCTGAGGAATCTTGTGATTTATCTAGATAAGCACCGCCTCAAGGGGCCCCTTCATGTGCTTTAAGACCCTTTTGAAGATTGTTTTCCTTAAAATTTCAGGGATTTAAGTGAGAGTAACATAATACAGTATGTAGTTTTCCATTGTCCTGGGGCTTCTTCCTCCCGCCTACCCAGAAACCAGATAATTGAGTGCTTGTCTGCGTTGTCCAAGGCTCAGCTGCGCATCTCCCCACCATCCTGGGGCTGATTGCAGAGGCCCTAGAGGAGGGACCCAGCTCCCAATTCTTTGCTTTAAGAGCAACATAAATTGTTCATGAAGTTCCAAGCAAAATAAGATTATTACAATGCATCCCACATGGTAGTACTGCCCATTACACGTGCTTGAGGGCGCAAAGAAATCGGCCAATTCCAGAAAGAAATCTGACCACGAGTCTAATGTAAATGGCTTGAGGGCGCCGCTGGCGTTCCGCTGTGGACACTGGCAGCGGCTGGCCCCCAGCGTCCCATCCCCCCGGGACGCAGTCTGTCCTCACACTCTGTGCTTTGGGCAGGGCTCCAGGGC